GGGGGGGGGGGGGGGGCACTACGACGGTTAAAGCTGAATTCTGGGATAATCAATTATTGTCTAAATGCAAAAGCCATGTGTATTCTTACTTAAATATTGGTGAGCTTTGCATATTTCTTCCACATCTGGGCAGTAATTCAGTGTGAGACTACTTGGAGATTCCATCAAGACCAGTCTCTGCTGCTCCCTCTCCTTGTGCAGAGCGACTGGTCATGTCTCCACCCCTCCTGTCATTTTCTGAAGGCAGTCTGTAGTGTGTGGGGACTGCACAGGTTATGTACAGAAGAGTGATTATGTCACCATTACCTTTACAAGGTAAAATTGGGTTTGTGAAGGCATTAGGTGCACACAAAGTGGATTTGTATCCTTTGTGGCTATTGAGGAATATATTTAAATGAACGTTTTTGTGCCCAGAGTGCTCAGCTTTTAACGTTAGGAATAAGCTGTAATACTTACCTTATAGTGACACCAAACTCAGGAGTTAAATCTTAAAAATACATTTAAGTACCTTAACTATTACCAACAATGTACCTTATTTGTGTATCGCTTGGCTGTAGATCTTCAAATCATCTCTGAATTGGTGCTGACACTGTCCTTCCTTCTGGAGGGGGGCTACTTTTGTTCCCCTTGGTCCCTGTGTGTGTTGTAGAGTAGTCACCGCTCCAAACTCACTCCAGTGATGGACTACAATCTCACATTTAGTTTACTAAATTGTATTGAGATTGTAGTCCATCACAGGAGCGTACTTGGAGCTGTGACTACTTTACAACATTATCAGGGACCACGGGGAACAAAAGTAACCACCCTCCAGAAGGAAGGACAGTGTCAGCACCAATTCAGAGATGATTTGAGGATCTACACCCGAGTGATACACAAAAAAGAGACCTTTTTGTTAATAGTTAGGGTACTTGGATGCATTTTTAAGATTTAACTCCTGAGTTTACTGTCACTTTAAACTTTTCTCTAGCAGGCTTCCAGCATTCATCTCTCTCTGATGCTCCAGGTTGTGGGTGGGCCCTTGCCGTCCTCACATACAATGCAGGGCAACTGGTTCTGCATTGTAATTGATGATATCAAAGTGCACCATCTGGCCAGGGCACCTTAGAGAAGACGCTTCAGGGTAGCAGTCACACAGGTTGGAGGAAGCTTGCCAGAACAGGGTATAAGGAAAGTATTGCAGTTTATTCCTCTACACCTAGACTTAATGAACATTTAACCCTAGCAGTGGGAGGGGAGGGGGCGGTTAATTTTTAGAGTGCAGCCTTAAGTTAAAATAAAACATTCCTGCTTCATCTTTCCTGCATCTCAAATGACAAATTATGAATTATAACAGGTTATAGAGGTTGGATACATAATTGACAAATAATTTGGAAAAACAAATGAAAGATGATGAATTGGCAACAATAGGTCTGGAAAGATTTTTGTGTCTTTAAAGTTGAAATATTTTAAAAATGAATGGATAAAAGTCCTTTCTAAATAGGAAAAAAAATATTGGATTTTAGATTTCCCATGAAACAGCAGCCAAAAATGAGTAAGCTTTTACCTTAATAAAGGGGTTTGTATGGCTTTGGTGGAGATGTTCTCCTTAAGAAAACCTGTCTGACTGCATGTCCTTCTCTAGAGAGAATGAACAATAGAAATCACCAGCACTCCATAAATGAAATTCAAAAAAAGTCCATTTATAAATGGACTTTTTTAAAATTTCATTTACGGAGTGCTGGTGATTTCTATCGTTCATTGACTGTTGTACACGGCGCCATCCGCGATTGTCACTGTGAGCACCGCTATTTTCACTTGGACCGGAAGCGCTGTAAGGAGTGCAAGGGGACCTACTGTTTTCTGGAATTGGCTTCTCTAGAGAGAGACCACAACCAGTCTGCTAATTTTTGGAAACGCAGCAAAATTGTGATGATACATTAACACATTTCTTTTTCAAAAACTGGTAAGAAGCACAATTACCTCTGTATAAACAGTACTTTTCCAACATTGTACCCTTTAGGTCTGATCTAGTGGTCTGTTTGATTCTTCTTCTTTGCTAATGCCTTAAAGCTTGACTGGTCCCCATAGATCTCACTGCCTCAAGACAAGCCTAACACAACCTGGCTTTCCATCCTAATGCCATTGGGTATGGGCAAGCATACCTTAAAATGTGTGAACTGTACAATTTAGTTTTTTTATTAACATACAAAATCGCAGCTCTGGTATTAGGCCCTATGGTGGTGTGCAATATCTCACCTAGTGGGGCTGTGAGTCACCATGTGCTGATCACTTAAATCAAATTCCTTGATGTGAGCAGGGTCAAGCTTAGCTCTATGGCAGGAAGGTCCTAGATCACCAGCAAGACTTTACAACATCCATATTAGTCCCGCAGAATTGAAGGAAAGGGGTCCCTGTTAGTGGGATACTAATTATGTAAGCAGTTGGTATCCTTCAGTACTTACAAAGCTGCCCTAACTGGAGAACTGTTTTGAAGGGTAGTTATAAAACAAATCACTATGTTTACCTACACTGAAGCATCCCTACCATAATCACAACACATTTCTAATCTATACAAATGGAATATGAAAGAGTCTTCTTCCCCTC